TTTGCTAGCTGCTCGGGCGATTCTCAATATCCTTTATACGGCTTTAATACACGGTATTAGTAAATACTCCCACTATCTCAGTAGACTATAAACTATGTTATAAATATAAAAAAATATATAAGGGGTCCTTTAATTTTTAATAAAAAGGAGTATATAATATAGGATCTAATTACTTATATAAGCTAATACTAAGAGGTCTTATATACGTTAAAATAAATATAGCTTGCTCTTTAAATAATTAGAAGTAGTAGAAGGTCGGGAGCTGTTTTAATTAGTAATTAGGTATAGAGCGCAATATACTTAGTTTTCTTAGATTTTAATATATAATATCCGGTACGGCCCCGGCGGATTACTCTATTAGAGGGAAAAACCGCTATATAATTCGGGATAAGTAAGTTACTCTACTACTTATTAATAATAAGCTAAGTAATATATTTATATAATAATACTAATTAAAAAAATTAATAATAGAGGTTAGTTTTAAAAGTTAAAAGCGGCCTTTTTTAATTATAAACGTTCTAAACTTTAATAATAACGTAGAGGTTTTTAAAAAAAGAGCTAAAAGGGCTAATATTTAGCTACTTAGAGCTCGTAAAGATTTTTTCTATCTTTATTACTTTTAATATTACTTAAAACTACTCTTTATTAAAACTAAATAAATTTACTAAATAAACCTACTAAATAAACTTATTAATATATAAACTACTACTTCGTTAAGAACTTATTTTATCAAAAATACTCCTTAATAAGTCCCCCCCTCTAGGGCTCGATAGATTCTTAGGCTCCCTTAACGCACTAATTATTATAATTAATATAAATATACTTAAAAAGTAGTATAATACTTTTTAATAATATAAAATCTAGTTAAATAATAATATTAATATTATAAATAGCCGGGCTAATACGAATATTAAAATTTAATATACCGATATTAGCTTAGAAATTATACTTTATAAACCTAGAAATGCCTTTAATATAGGCTATATTATAAATATAAGGGAATATATAAAGGGTCTCCCCTTTGGGGTCCGGTCCGTCTTATTAGGGGCCATCTTCGCCTTTATAAATAAACTAGTTTATTAAAATTAATATTAAGTTTTTATTACGTACTTTAATAAGACTTTAAAACTAATTATAACTAGCCATAGCTATTACTAAATATTAACGATTTTATTATAATATATTAATTACCCTCTAAATAACTAAAACCTACTTCCTATTTTCTAACTTATTTAATAACTTTAAAATATTCTTTTTAATCTCTTTAAACCTCTTATTTTACTATTATAATACTAAAATATTAATTATATTTTATAATTAATTAAGTATTTTATTAAGGCTATATTATATTAATTCAGTATTAATAAGGGTAATACTTATATTAATATATATATTTTAAATTTTTAAATTAATAATATTTAATCCGTATTCCTTAAAATAACCTTATTATAGTTCGTGGTTTTTTAATATAATATTAATAAGATCGAACTACTAAGTATATCCCTTAAGGTATCTTTATAAGTCGACGAGTTATTAGTATTTTAGTATTTTAATAATATATATTTAAGAGTAAGTAAACGATTTAATAATAATAATAATAGTAATAATATAATAATAATAAATAGTAAGGGAAGTAGCGTTTTTTAATTTTAATAAAAGAAACGAGGTAATAAATATATATATATATATATAAGTAAAGTTAAAATAGGGTAGACGTAAGGTTAGCGCTAGCTATTCTTAACAATAATAATAATAATATGTCTAATACTACTATTATAAACTACTATTACTTAGAGGGCTATAAACTTAGCTAAGTAAACGGCTTATAAAGTAGTAATATTATACTTAATATTACCGTTAATCCGTAATTATAAACTTTATAAAAAGAAAAGTTTAAAAAAGTAGAAAATTTAAAAAAAAAATAGTCTAACGAGATAGTAAGAGTATTTACTAATATTATATATTAATACTATATAGCTAATATTAAAAATTACCCGAGTAGCTAGTAAAAATAGAAATAAAAAAATAAATATAAAGGGTCTCTTAACCTTTAATAAAAAAGAGTATATAATATAAAATTTAATTATTAATACGGGCTAGTATTAAGAGGTCTTATATACGTTAAAATAAGTATAGCTTACTTTTTGAATAAGTAGTAAAAAGTTAGGAACTATTTTAATTAGTAATTAAGTATAGAGCGCAATATACTTAGTTTTCTTTAATATATCATACGTAGTACGGCCCCGGCGGATTACTCTATTAGGGGGATATATTAATACTATATAAATAATATTAAGAACTACCTAAGTAGTTAATAAAAGTAAAATATATATATAAATAAAAATAAATAAAATTAAAATAATAAACTAGTTCTTTATATAGTTTTTATATGCCCCTCTAAGTAATAATAATATTTATAAAAAAGAACGAATTATATTAAATTTAGTTATATATATAAGCTAGTATTACCCCTTAGGGTCCGGTCCGCCTTATTAGGGGCCATCTTCGCTTTTATAAATAAGCTAGTTTATTAAGGTTAATATTAAGTTTTTATTATATACTTTAATAAGATTTTATAACTAACTATAACTAGCTATAATTATTATTAAATACTAACGATCTTACCGTAATATACTAATTACCCTCTAAATAGCAAAATACTACCCCTTACTTTTTTTTTTATTTTTTTTAATAATAACCTCTTTTTAATATTCCTATTTAATATACTTACTTATACTCTTTTTAAGCTCTTAATAATATTATTAAGTCTAAGCTTATTTATATTATTTTATTATATTAAAAGGGTATTAATAAAAGTAATTTGTTTTTTATTTCTACTTTTACTAACTACTCGGGCGATTCTTAATATCGATTATATAGTATTAATATATAAAATTAATAAATACTCTTACTATTTTAATAAACTATTTTTTTTAGATTTTCTACTTCTTTAACTTTCCTTTTTATAAAGTTTATAACTACGGATTATTAATAATAATATTAAGTGCTTAACGCTATTACTTTATAAGCCCGCGTACCTAGCTAAGTTAGCTACCCTTTTAAGTAATAATAGCTCATAATAGTATATTATTAAAAATACCCTTATTGCTATTATTAAATAATATTAACCTCTATAAGTACGATATATACCCTAACACTTTTAATTTTAACTCGTATATATATATATATATATATTCGTTACCCCGTTTCTTTTATTAAAATTAAAAAACGCTTCCCTTATTATTTATTATTATTATATTATTACGCTATTACTATTACTATTTAACTATCTATTTACTCTTAAGTATATTTTATTAAAATACTAAAATACTAACTCGTCGACCCTTAGGGCTTCCTTAATAACTAGAAGTTCGATTTTATAAATATTATACTAAATAACCCTAAGTTATAAAAAGACCGCTTTAATAAATATTTTATTAATAATATTAACTTATAAAAAATAAATAAATATATTATAATAAGCGTTGCCCTTATTAATACCTTTTTAATATAATAAAGTAATATAAATAAGCTTAGACTTAATAATATAATTAAGAACTTAAAAAGAGTATAGTTAAGTATATTAAATAGGAATATTAAAGAGAGGTTATTATTAAATAAGATAAAAAGAGAAAGTAAGGGGTAATATTTAGTTATTAAAAGGGTAATTAATATATTATAATAGGATCCTTAGTATTTACTTAGTAATATAGTGGTTTTTTTCTAGCTTTATAAGCACAAAAGATCGACCTTAACGGGATTACGCTTTTAAAAAAAATTATATAATACGGTATACTTTTTAACTATATAATATACGTAATATACCCTAAGTACGCGCTTAACGTAATATAGTAATTTCGATATGAAAACCGCTATATAATTCGGGATAGGTAAGCTATTTACTTAGTAATAGTTACGGCTAGCTATAAATTATTATAAAGTTTTATAAAATACGTAATAAAAATACTTAATATTAACCCTAATAGACTAACTTACTTATAAAAGCGAAGATAGCCCCTAATAAAGCAGACCGGACCCTAAAGGGTTAATAAAAGTAATACTTATTATAATATATTTATATATTTTTTATAAGTTAATATTATAAATATAATATTTATTAAAGTAGTTTTTTTATAGCTCGGGGTCGTTTAGTATAATACTTATAAGATCGAACTTCTAATTATTAAAAAAGCCCTAAGGGTCGACGAGCTATTAGCGTCTTAGTATTTTAATAAAATATACTTAAGTAGCGTTTTTTAATTTTAATAAAAGAAATAAGGTAACGAATATATATATATATACGAGTTAAAAGTAAAAGTATAACAAATATCGTAAGGTTAATATTATTCTTAATAATAATAACGAGGGTATTTCTAATATTATTATTATAAACTACTATATTTAGAGGGCTATAAACTTAACTAAGTAAGTAGCTTATAAAGTAGTAATATTAAGTACTTAATATTACTATTAATAATCCGTAGTTATAAACTTTATAAGAGGGAAAGTTAAAAAAGTAAAATCTTTTTAAAAAAATAGTTTATTAAAATAATAAGAGTGTTTATTAATACTATATATTAATATTATATAATCGATATTAAGAATTGCCTAAGTAGCTAGTAAAAATAAAATATAAAAATAAATAAGCTAATATTAATAAGTCTTATATATATTAAAATAAGTAAAGCTTATTTAATAAATAGTTAGAAGTAGCAGAAGGTCGGGAGTTTTAGTTAGTAATTAGGTATAGAGCGTAATATACTTAGTTTTCCTCAATACGTAATATATAGTACGGCCCCGGCGGATTACTCCGTTAGGGGAATGTATTAATACTATATAATCGATATTAAGAACTGCCTAAGTAACTAGTAAAGGCAGAATATAAAAATAAATAAGTGTTTTTACGGCATCTTTCGTACTGACGGCCACGTCGGTGGGCTCTTTGCAGCCAAGCTCCTATCCAGATACTCTAATAGTCTCACCGGCACTGTGCGAGGGAGATGCAGGAAACTGAAGTAACTCCTGCTGGAGTATTTTTTTGGACTGAACCGTCAGACTGCAGCCAGATTCGGAGGAATCGTTGTAGGTTGAAATGGTCGTGTTTCAGGTCGCCAATGGTCGGTCGCAAGCCATCCTCACTGACACGGAAGGAAATGCATATTACAAACCCCATCTTTCCTCCACGCCATTCCTCTGTGAACATAGAATATTTAAAGCAAAGCACCTGTGAGACTTTTGACTCCTTCCACAAGTATGTACCGGCTTGAGACTTGTGGAACTCTCCAGCATTATTGGATTGCGGCCCGTGGGATTACTGTGTCGGTATGGCAAGAGCATCGACAGGTAAACAGTAGGAGTTGAGCGGTACGTTATTAGAGCAAATTCCGCATATCAGCGCAGCGCGGAAGCTCTAGGTGCCACGTACCTACATACCTTAAGCGAAGAAGATGCCCCTCATCGTACTACTTATCGGAGTTGATCATTGGCTGCTGTTGGAGCAATGCCTTTAGTCCGCACTGTATTCTGCCTGCCATCGTCACAAACCAATCAGAGCAAACGTCCCGTGCGCTCGGTCAAGCCGAATCAGGCTTAGCATCAGAAAGTGTGACTCACACTCTCATTTCGTGCAGGGGTACCACTTCCTTCCTGTGGGCGCAGTTGCCTGCCTTGCGCTCCATCTGGAGGCGGTACTTCTGTCTAGGTAGCGCACTTGCGATCTGAAGACCGATCCGTGCGCTTAATGACATGGCGGGATACAAAGCCCCGCTGTACCTTCTAGACAACAGGGCTTCGACAACTGCGCCCTTCGCCCTGCTTGCGTATCCGGAAGTGCCGTCCCACAACCACCCGCCCTTTTCGGGGGGGTTTGGCCTGTTGCTGCCTTTCAGGCTACAAAAGCTCGCTAATCCCTCCGTGCCTAATTTTTCACGTACCCTTTTCCTCCTTCCTCCTCACCACCACAATTTTCCAAACTACAATCAAGAATCATTCAGCCATAGAGCCCCGCCAAAATGCGTTAAATCATCGTCTTCAGTTCGATCCCGCTTCAAAGCTCAACAAAATTCAGTCTACAACAATTCACGACTTTTCTCCGCTCTTCACTTCAGCTCAACCTTCCCAGGTCGACCTGAACTACACTACGGCTTCCAGCTCTAGCTTAAGTTCCGCCTCCGCCAACATTCTACCTCGAGACTTTTCAGTCTTCACAACGGATTCCCAATCATCATGGCTTCCCTCCAGTTCACCCAGCCTGCCGGCACAACCCGCGCAACAGCCTCAGTTCAGCCCACCGGAACAGTCTCCCCAGCAGGACTTCGTCTTGTTCGATCAGCCTCGTACCAGTCAACCTAGACACTTGGCAACCCATACCGCCATCGGTTTGAACCAACGTCGCCACTCGTCATATCATCTCCGACAGAACCAACAAGGTCGCGTCCATTTTCAACAGAAGCATCGTCTTGCTCAGATCCAAGCTTCCGGATCTAATTCCCGGTCACCTTCAGTGTGCTCCCCCGCTCAGTCAGCTCAATTCTACGCTTCATCCGCTCCGTCGTCTTCAGCTGCTCTGAACCGCCGTCAGCGTCCTCCTGTACCATTGTTCGCTCAAAGTACTCAGGGCGTAACCAACAAGATGGATATTCAAGGTAAACCGCTCACACTCTGGTCTCGCCCAGGACTGTGCTCACATGTCTCTACAGACCTTGACCTTGACGACTTCACCGGCTTCGAGGGTGGTGCGTCTACCACCTACTCGTCGCCAGCCATGCCCTCGGTCTTCGATGTCGGTCCTAGCACCCTGGGCACCGTGTCTCCTCATGACCTTCTCATTCAGGAGCCCTTCATGTCTGCTCCCAACTCAACAGCTTTGACCGCCTTGACATCGCCTTCGATCTACAATGAGTCTCCTGACTTTAACGACGGTTACGATGTTTCCCCCAGTTTTGACTCGGGCGACTTCGGGTCGGCAGATTTTGACACCACTGCTGGTGATCCTTGGTTTCCCCTCTTTCCCCAGGAATCTACCGCTGTCACAAAGGACGTCACCGGTATCGAGGAGATCCAGAAACTGCAGACTGATCAGTCTCCCGCTCTCAAAGGCGATGATCTGGAGGTGGTCGAGTTCACTTCAACCTCGGGCCGCCGGAAGTCTGTCAACTCTTCCCCAACTAGTTCTGCCCGCCACTCTTCAGTCTCGGGCGTGAGCTCTCGTCGACGAGACAAACCGCTGCCTCCTATCATTGTTGAGGATCCTAGTGATACCACTGCTATGAAGCGTGCCCGCAACACACTCGCTGCACGCAAGTCTCGCGAGCGTAAGGCCCAGCGGTTTGAAGATTTGGAAGAGAAGATTCGTAAGCTTGAAGAGGAGCGTGACCACTGGAAGAGCATTGCCCTTGGTCGATCCTGAACTGTTTCCTCACAGACCACTAAGGCACAACTGGATGAATTGGAGGGATTACGGTACACTTTGTGCATTTCCTTCAGCAATATCCATTTTCCTCATCGCTTATTGTTTTTGTTGTTTGTCCCGCTTGTCATTCTCGGCTGTAGTTTATACAATTCACATATTAAAAATCCAACATCTGGAATATCGAGTAAACAAACAAGATGATTATACTCCCTCGTAAGCGGAGGATACTAAATACAAGGTACGGTAACTCGATCTAGGCTCGCAAGCGTCTGCATATCTATCCCTGCTTATTCCTCCTGTAATCCCAACCCCGATGTCGTAGTTCGGCAGAATCACAGGTTGCTAAATTCCTCGTGCCATGTACGTTTGTCCTTCAAATCCCACCAACAAGCCTTAGAGCTACCGACCGACCGACATTTCGCGTCGCCGCCAGGGCAGCTTCAATTTCGCTGTCGTCTCGATGCGATCTCCAGCGTCCTCTTTACGCCAGTAATCATAAGCCCTGCCTGTTATTGGAAGTCTCTCGATGACGATTCGTCGTATCATACGTAACGGTACCGGATCGCTAGAGCATCAAGTGGTCTATAGCTGTGTCAACGATATTTGCTACAGCGTTCTGTAATATTCATTTTACATACAACAACGCCGAATGCCGTCTTTGCGCGATGACCCCTTACATAACGGCTCTTGTACCGGGCTTTGCGGTTGACATTAGCCATGATATCAACGTGGTTGGGTGGTGTTTAGGAGCATTGGAGTTCTCGAGGTCAATTCCGGCCGATTCGCTCGCCGCCAACTTTGGTTTCGAGAATTTCGTTGTTGACGATGTCTTTGTTTCCATCCCGAAAGTCTTTCATCAGTGATAAGAACCGAGAATTCTTCCATTTGTCTCCTTGTTCATGTTGAACCGAGTCAAGTATCTGTCTCGCTGCCTCCGAAATGTCAGATGTTGACTGGACATGTTCTGCAGATGCTTGCTCCGCTTCGTCGAGCCCTAGACGTTCCAAGTCAGGCATGTGGTCTGGAAAACTCGCTCTTTTTGATACTCCGATGGCATCAATCCCAAGGACCGAGGATGCGCCGGGTATTTGTTGGTTTGTTGAAGCTGTAGCATCGAATGTTTGTATTCCTTGTGCTTCATCTTGGACAGAAACATCTAGAGAGGTCGTGAAAGTATCCACAGAGCTGCCGGTGGTATCTCTGGATGCTTGTGTAGCGGCCTCTGGTTGCTGCTCTTGTTCCAGTTCTCGCGCGAGTTGTTCCATAACAGTGTCGAGGTCCTCCATCTGTCCGTCTCCGTTGGCCGCCATCCACCGATTCATCTCAACATCAAAGTCAGCTTCGGTGTTTGTAACTCCGTGATTTGTGGCGGTTACAGAACCGCCTTGGGGCCCGAATAACCAAGGTCTTAAATGCGACCCCATCATATTCTGCGTAAATCCGGCTACAGGCGCTGGATATTGCGAAGAAGAAAACCCTGTTGTGTAGTTTCCAGCACCTGGCGGTGCCCTAGAGAATGATGCAAAATCTTGTGCCCAACTCGATGTCCTCGGTGGCGACGCCATAGACACATTTTGCCGAGAAGCTGTCGGAATTTGTGACGTAGATTGGTAGAGGTTGGGTGGGAGAATTCGACCGGCAGGGGCCGCTGATGATTGGAATGATTGCAACCCTCGAGGGAAGCTTGATGCGGGCGAGTTGAGAGTTTGGGGAGTGTTTATGCTGACTTGCCCAGCCCCGTTGGAGTCGAGGAATTCGCCAAAGCCTGCTTGAGCCGGCGCCGAGACGGTTTGACTTGTGGATCGAAAGCCCTGTCATTGTTAGGAGAACTGCGTGAGAGCACGGGGGCGGTACTGTAGGCCTTACTTGCTGGAGACTAGGAGTACTGGAAAACCGATCTCGGTGCAGACTTCGATCTTGGGCCCCATGGTCAACGAGACCTTTGAACGGCGTAGAGCCGCTACAGGAACTGTCAGCCATTATGAGGGCGCCTGCGATGGCTTCGTACGGGAAATGATCAATGGTTCCAGTGCTTAGGATGTACAGTATTCGAGTGCGCACTCGGATTGCATGTGGTGTCTGAAGAGTGTGGCCTGTGGTGTTTAAGGCTGATCACAGTGTTAGCAGAAGCCTATGGCGCGTCGAGTAAAGGTGTCGACTGAGATGGTAAATTATTCCGTCGAGCGCCAAGGTAGCCGGGTACATGGAGTAGCACTGTAGAGAAAAGTACCGCAACGTTGTCTGTTATTCATGGGTCGGTAGACAGTAATGAGGCTTTCATCGACTCTCACTTCGGTTTACCTCGGCATCGGCTTGTACGCACACTACCTCTGCGTCAGCGCGGCACCCACCCCGTTAACGGGACCGGAGCTGGGGGAGGGGGAGGGGAGACGTCTCACGTGCAAGAAACTGGAAGCTCCTAGCCGTCAATCTAAAGGAAGTCACGAGACTCAGGTCACGGGAAGTCTATCCCACCGCCTTCCTCATACGGAACACCCTACTGGTGGTCCTGCAACACGGCCCCATCCCGTTGGCCAAATTGGATCTCAAGCTTGGGCTAAGGCCAGCTGGGAGCTTCGATTCCCTTAGGTGGCACTTACAGTGACGCCGTCCAGTCTGCCATTCAACATATACCCAAGTCTTACCCAGCTCTCGACCTTCCCGCATCAGCCCATATTAGATGTTCTGAATGAGCGCAGTCCTTGATTAACAACACCAGCTTCTACTTCACGCAATGGTATGGCTTCTCAATATATACTTGGCAATCCGCTCCGCTAACATGGCTCTTCACGTAGGCGTCTGCCCAGGTCATATCGAATTCTGGCCACGATGATATGATTGTAAGTGTCTCTTCGAGTGTTGCCCCACGTTCCCAATCGCCCAGTGGTTTGCGAGACGGGGAAATATATACCATCGACGCCTGTGTCATGATGTGCGATCGGCGGCCGCCTCCTTGTCCTACATGTTCGGTTAGGCTAATACTTCACCACCCTTACCAGCACGATGCCGTCCTCGATTACTACGGACGTCGCCTTGCGACATGCTCAAGCGACCGCACCATCAAAATATTCGAAATCGACGGGGACTCCCAACGACTTGTCGAGACCCTGAAAGGGTAAGCATTGCACATTCGAGACCTTCAGAAACACGAGCCTACTACTCCTGCTGACTCTGTTGCAGACATGATGGTGCAGTTTGGTGCGTTTCATGGGCGCACCCCAAGTATGGAAATATACTGGCCTCCGCAGGTTACGACGGCAAGGTCTTCATCTGGAGGGAACAGAACAATCAGTGGCAGAAGATTTTCGATTTCGCTCTGCACAAAGCTTCCGTCAATATCGTCTCTTGGTCACCACACGAGTCTGGGTGCCTCCTGGCGTGCGCTTCTTCGGACGGCAACGTAAGCATACTCGAGTTCCGCGACAACAGCTTCGACCATGTGACATTCCCAGCCCACGGGTTGGGCGTCAACTCCGTCTCATGGGCCCCAGCCACGGCCCCTGGAAGCATTGTCAGCAGTTCTCCTGGTCCTGGTTCAGCTGGGGTGAGGCGATTTGTCACGGGCGGCTGTGATAACTTGCTCAAAGTTTGGGTTTTCGATTCAGCATCGCAGTCGTACAAGCAGGAGCAGGAGCCTCTTGCCGGTCATACAGACTGGGTTCGTGACGTAGCATGGTCGCCGACGGTCTTGCAGAAGTCATACATTGCGTCAGCCTCCCAAGACAAGACGGTTCGCATTTGGACGTCGGATTCGTCGAGCCGTGGACAATGGAACTGCAAGGTCCTCAACTTCGATGCAGCTGTGTGGAGAGTCAGCTGGTCTCTGAGCGGCAATGTGCTCGCGGTCAGCGGAGGTGACAACAAGGTCTCGTTGTGGAAGGAGAACCTCAGAGGCGAGTGGGAGTGTGTCAAGAGCATCGAGGAATAATACAGACATCCATGTAACGTCATAGGCGAGGCGTTCGCGGCAAAATAGGGCATAAATGGGTCATCACGTATTTGAACTCGTGAATTTCATGTCGTCTTGGAGTTGGATCAATCGTTACGGATGATACAAACCCAGACTAGCAAGCCACTGTCGATTGCACACCGTAGATCATTGATTACATGAAGCAGCATACTCTTGGTACCAACTGAATATTTGTTGACTCTTTGAACCCGGCCATTCCCAGACTGAGAGTATATGAAGCTGAATCTCAGAGAAGGATCAACCTGACCACGCCCGCACTTCCCATGAAAACAAATACTGAGACCGCAAGGCTGCCAAAAGAGGTGAGCCGGGAGGGGACTAAAGTTGCTGCAGCGTCGGGTGATGATGTTGGAACAGGGATGGCCGGAGAACTGGTCGAGACTGAGACATCGGTCCGCTGAAGGACATAAATTTCACCCGTCGAATCTGATGTCATGAAGAGTCTCTGCTGACTGTCCCAAGCAAGTCCTACCGGGCGAAAGCAGTGGTCAGGGCAGCTGCTGGTGTCTGCGTTACTTAGAATATCAGTAATTGGTGTCCGGCTATCAGCTGACTCTGTAGGCTCTCCGTTCGAGAAACGTATGCTAGATAGCTTGTAGCCGACTGCCTCGTCTCGGTTCCCTAGGCCGGTGTAAGTCATGGGATTAAATGTGGACAATAGAGCCCTGGCACCACTCACAACTGCCATGGAATGTTACAAAGGCTTCTGAGCCATCGGGCGTGAATTTTATATCCAATGGAGCAGTGTGCGCCTGGAAAGATAGTCTCGGGGGCACATAGGCGGAATTGCAAGTTGTATCGTTCAGGGTGCGTGATGGGTTGAGGCTGAACTGATCTCCCGTCGTCATGTTGCCTTTATCGGGAAATCCCTCGGTCGACCAAACAGCAAAGCAACCTGGATATCCATAATTACCGCCCTGATCCTTGTTAGAATCACTGAGGTGCCCGTGGAAGTTGAGTTCTTCGGCAGGATTGTCAGTGTGAATATCAACATTGTTCCTCCTCAACTGGTCCGCTGAATTCTCTACTGTCCATACACCGCCTGTGACGGGCTCTTCTGCCACGCCCACTGAGTTCCGCAATCCCCAGCCGAGCATCCTTCCCTCAGTTGGGAAGTTGAGCGGCCCAGAATTCTCACCGAGGCTCCCGATATCAAAGGCGCGAAGCTGGGAATGCCCAGTCGACTGGCGGGTCGCAGCCTCGTCAATGTTGGACGCGCTACCTCTCGACACCAAGAGTATGCCTGGACTTTTTTTGGATAGAAGTAACGTCCGGGTGGTATGATCGGTATTGCTCATGTTCGCTATGAGTGTCCTATTCCTATCGCCAACGGTGGCAGCACTGCCATTGTATGCCCAGGAATATACCTTGTCGGCGGTCGAGGCATACAGAGTCTTCCCATCCGGGGAGAGGGCTATTCCGTGGTTCAACTTTGGGTCGCCGGACACATTACAATAAGTAAGCTCGCTACACATACTCGGCCTCTAGAGTTGCCATACCTCTGGAGAATCAATAATCGTCCGTTTCTCGGCCACAGATAAGCAAGTGCCGCCATCGTCAGTCAGCTTCAGATGTTTTACTCCAGAGTTAGCATCGACAACCAGGAGAGCTCCCTGGTTGTCGAAAAGTATGCTTCTGGGTCGAGTGAGTCCGTTCGCGATCAGGCGATATGTCCAGCCACCGGCAGCAATGGGCGAGGTATACGTTGCTTTCAACGTATTTCTGCACTCCTGGGCCAAGGCCACAGAAAATTGAGTGGCGGCAAGAATATGCAAAGAAAGTAAGAGATTCATGCTGTTGGTAGTGGACACGTACATACTGGAACGGAGAAGCACGGTGAATGTAGAGAGGGCCGTATGGCGAATAACCGGATCGGACCTGAAGCCGCTGTTATAGTGCGGAGAGGCAGGCGTCACTATTCTGCGACGGAAGACCACCCTGTGTTGCACTGAAACTTAGCCTGGACCGACGGTCCAGCCAAGAAATGATGCCACACTTGTTTGTGCCGGGGGAACTTGGCTAGGATTGGGGGCTGATTAGTGTGCCTGACGCTGATTCTCCCCAAGTGAATGATTATGGGGAAGAAGGTGCGATGTCCCCTTCGTATGAGGGCTGCTTCTGTCTCCAAATAAAACATAGCTAGCATTGAGGTGCAAGGCATTTTCTCCTTATTGTCCAGGAGCCCAGTGGGGTGAAGGATGCGACAGTATGAGCAGGAGTTAGATGAAGACTACCTACCCATCTATACTGACAGATTGAGAACACAGCTGGCAGCGGCCCCGAGCCAAGACACCATAGACTTGAAGTCACTACACCTGAAATTATTCAATGGTCCATTCCGTTAAGACGATGACGAGAACGTCACTACTGGGTTCCTCACAAGTATCAATCATGAGCCCACGTATCTAAGTGACAGTCATGATCAAGAAAACGCTTCTGTTTGATTATGTAAGAACTGACCTATGACTAATGTTTGCTTGGTCTGACGCACCTATGAACACGCTCAATATCAGCCTCAGATAGCGGTCTCGCCATTGAAAACGAATGTTGCCTATGCGTGGCCGACGAAGCCCACGAACCATTTCGCGCATGTGTTGAAAGAAGTAGACGGAAGGAAACCCATATTTCAGCCCACAAAGCCAGGCTGCGCTACACCATTACGCCCATTCCTGACCTCTCGCCGCACAATATAGTAGCCAAGCTTGTCGGCCTCATCGGAGGCCGATTACGCTCATTTCCAGGGTCCAAACGCGCCTGATCCAGACCTTCAGCTTCCCCTCAATACCCTCAACGTTGTCAAGCTCCACGCCTTCCCACCAGCAGCGTCTCGCAGGCTTCCTCCAAAAGAGGAGCAGCTTTTGCGCCATGCCAACGGCATTGCTGCCCATATCATTACCTCTGATATCGCTTCGTAGGCGTGCCAATGCTAAGCTACAAACGACCGCCTTGTTCGGTTCTCCTGCTCTGTGTCCCCAGTTGTCGTCATGGTTGAACCCGCTGGTGAATGGTTAGCTCTTGTCAAGGGCCGGACATTGTCATGCCGGGGGAACTTACCCTGCTGTGAGCATTTCGATGAGGTGAGCTTCCGTAGTACCCGGCTCATCACTGCGCTTCAGACCTGAGAAAATACCCGTCTGTTGAAGAAGGGCTCTCCCCGCAGCTCTCTTGACTTCCATCATTTCAGGCTGCGTGATTTCGGCCCGCGGTGGTATGACGTAGAAGTCAAGATCCTCTCTCAGAACGATGATGCCAGCTCTCTTGGATGAGTCGTCTCGTGAGCCCATTGGGTCTCCCGTCGCAGGATCCTCCTCCTGAGAAACACTCGGAGATGAGTCAACAGGTATCGACTGCGCAACGGTGCGAAAGAAGTCCAGCATATACTGCAGGGATGCCGGGTCGTACTGCCGAGAAGTTGTCAATAATTAAAGTGCACTATGTAGGTCACTGTGAGAATTTGTACTCACGTCCACTTGCACTGCATCGCCCTCAGTAAATCCCCCCATATGCCCCTCAGGGAAAAGGCCGTTAGGGAACAACGATAAGAGGACAAATTCGGGCAGCGTCAAGAGTTCGTCTCGCGACAGAACAAATCGGGTGCCCCTGCAGATCACAACGATTAGCGTTCAGGATAGGACGTCGAGTAGAAGCAAACCCTACCGAAGGTCCATCGCGATCGTCTCGTCGGCACCAACATCTGCCATTACGTTAGTCTTATTCGATTTGTCCTGGTCGAGTAGCAACTCACCTCCAATCGCATTGATAGGCGGCCCTCCTTGTTGCACCTGAGTAATGATACTCGACGCGCCTCCGGCGGTAGCCATCAGAAAGGCAAACGATTGGAGTGGACTGGGTCCCTCCGAGTATGCGGGGGGTGGTTCGGCGTTGTCGTCCTTTCCGGATGAGCCCCCTTTGGTGTCTCGAGGGAGCGCACGCTTTGTTTCTGTAAGAGCGTGATCAAAGGAAGTCGGAACCGATTGTTCTGTAGAGAAGCCTGGAGCTAGAGATGCATACGACGGTGCAGCAGGGGATATTCCAGCGACTGTGACTGTGATCGCAGAGCGGGGGTCGTGAGCCGGTTCGGAGGGGTTTTCGAGCGAATCGCACACTGAAGAGAAGGGTGGCGGCCGGGAGGTTGATGCTTCGGAGGAGGGATACTGAGGAGGCGGAGGAGGAGGAGGAAGAGGTGACGGGGCGCTGAGGCTGGACTCTCCTGCACTTTCTTGCTCGGTCTTTGCTGGTAGCTGAGGAGGATCTTCTTCTTCAGAGGCGGTGACTGTACGCCGGGCGGACACGGGCTGCCCGTTCCTGACGTGTTGCGAGCCTGGCAACGTGTTGGCGGTTTCGACAAGGTATCGAGTATCGGATCGTAGTTGGATACAAATAAGTAGGGTGCACCACTCGACCTCTTAGCTAGTTCCAATTGATGGCATTCGTTAACAGAGTTTGTAATCAGGCGCCAATGCGAAAGCCAAACGTATGTTTTATTTGTGCCGCTCCTAGCTCGGATGGCGAAGATGGGTTCAGTGAACAAAGTGGTTTGCGAAGGACAGACGTGTAGAGAGAGGGAGAGAGGAAGAGCGACGGGATGCTCGCCAAAGGTTAGTTCGTTTAGTCGAGTGCGAAACGGGGTAAAGGTCGCCTTGCAAGCGCAGGGGTGGCAGGCGTATGCTAGGCCTAGAGAAACCAATGGTTGATTGCGAGTGTCCGAGCAAATGGTGGATGGGAAATTGGTCGTTGGGGGGCAGTTTGATGAGGTAGAACAGGCAGGGGATGATGGCGGCTATTTCCTTACCTTAGGTAGGCAGTGACCAAAGAGGCAAGCCCAAGTCCAGAGCACTTTTGCCCAGTCAGTCCCAGTATTACGTCTACGCGCCTGCAGTAGTCTACTAAAGGACCCTAGGAGTGAGTGGTCACCCGTTGACGGATCTCCGCTTTAAGGCATGGCAAATCGTAGCTTG